CTATGGTATTGCTGCAGCCACTATTTAAAAACCACACCAGTTTTCTAGCATCTTAGGCTATTCTACATGAACATATATATTTGAATAGTCAGCTTTAACTCTTCTAATATCCCGTATCCTCTTTTTTACAAAAGAGAGTAACGTTTTGTAAATGCTCCTTAACAACACCTGTCATTTTTTGCCCATCACAACATATGATTATTGTATATGGAAACTGCTGATATATCCCAATTTATTTTCTAAAAGAACTATCCTAAACTGTTACAACTTGATTACAAGTTGAAAAACAAATTTCAGTGATCGTGGTTACGAAAGACGGAACATGCAGGACAGTGGAGTGTCAAGAAGGACTTTACCAAAACCTAATCATTCTATAAAAACAGACTCTTTCCACTCAATGCCATTCATTTTTTTAAAAATGGATGGAATGGTTACAGTGGACACTAAGAACCTATGAAGAAAAACAAATAAAATAAAAAATACACAAACTAAGATCCTATGTAGAAAAACAAATAAGAGAATTCATACACAAACCCGTCAAAGACGAAACAAATGGAAGACACCCAAAAACAAAATCAAAATCAATCATGGTAACCTTAAAACTAGTGCATTTGTTGTTTTGAACAGAAAAAAACAATAAGAAATAGATAAAAGAATATTCAACAAACAGAGAAAAAGAAAGAACCTATTTTTCTTAGCCTGGTTTTCTGCGGCCAGCAACCAGCGGCGGAGTTAGGAGAGTTTTTGAGAGTTGGGAAAGAGAATTAGAATGCAAGCCAGTTGAAGGGTCAGTTACTGCTGACTCCCAAGCAAGACTAATAACTCAATTTGTGATTTGTTTTTCTTAATATCTTGTTTTGTATATATATATATATATATATATATATATATATATATATATATATATATATATATATATATATATATATAACAAACCATTAAAAAGAAATTGTCACAGATTTCAATAATTTTTTGTTTTAAAAAAATCCTTAATATATAATAATTTATATGATGATTTTATTCTATTTTAGTTTTCCCTTGAAGATTTCAATATCAATCATCAATCTTTATATATTTGATTTTATTTTATATTATTCATCTGTTTTAAGTATAAAAACTAAAAATGATCAATTTGTAATAAATATAAAACTAACATGTTACCGTACTTAAATAAAGTCATATATGTAATGATAAAAAATATATGTAAGTTTGAAATATAATTTGCATAATTTGATTATAATATTAATTTTAAACTAAAACTAAATTAAAAGATTGTGATATATTTGTAACAATATATTAAAAATTATAAATCTTATGACATCAATATATATTAAAATAAGATTAATATTGAAACTGGGAGAGAATATGAAGATAAAGATCAAATATAAATATTCAATTATTTCATATAGGAATAAATTTTCTTTCATAAAATATAAAATGACATATATATATATATATATATATATATATATATATATAAATTATATGAGTCAAAATATACTGATAAACATATAATAATGTATATTTATTCTGTACATTTGTGAAATTGATTTAAAAACAAAAGAAGTTGATATTCAAATATTTAAAATAAAATTATGCCAATGATAATAATTTATATTATTTTATAAGTGATTAAAAATTTAAAATAAATAATATTATGATTATAAGTAATTATTTTTATAAAATTTTGAATTTATAATTTTTTAAAATTATAATTAAAACCTATAAATGAGATGAGTTTATGTTAAAATAATATATTTATTTATATGTAATTATTACAAACACAATTATATATACCCCTTCTAAGTTTCCTATCAACCTTTATTAATAAAGAAACCAATCATGCACATTATATATTTTTGTCGTATTAGGCTCTCGATCGAATTTTTTTGACATAACGCAAATATTCATCGTTTATCGTATAAAGATTGATTGTTAATAGTTAATTGTTGATGGTACAAAATTTCTTGTAAAGATTTATGCTATAAAATCTTATCTTATTTACTTTCTTAAAATCATATTTAATAATGAATCTAAAATATAATTTATATTATAATATTTTTAAATTATATTATATTTAAGTATATACTATTTTAAAATGATTGATCAGTATTTCTAATATAATTATATAGATTCTTTATAGTCAACTACACCAACTTTTTTTAAAATTAATCTTAAATATATATTTTTTTTTAACATTATCCTTTTTATCATTACATATTTATAACAATTAATAAATAAAATAAGATCACATAGTATAAAATGGAGTTCCATGATTTAAACCGTTACAAAAATAAATAAATAAATAAAAACTAAAATTTAATCAGAAAACATAATAACAATAATAAAAATATCAATAAATGTTACACTGGACACATACAGAAAGAGGTGTGCACCAGAACCGTGACAAGTGTGGTGTGACGGTTATAAAAGATATATATATATATATATATATATCAAGAGCTTAGATTAGATTTTATTATTTTTTAAAAATTATATATATTTAATTAATTAATATTTTTTATTTTATTTTTAAAATAATTATTATTTTATAAAATAACTACCAATCTTTTAATATTTAAGAAATACATTCTATAACACATAGGATGTCAAAACGGGCTAGGCCCGTGGCCGCTTATAATATGGCGGCTCGGGTTGGTGTTTTTAACCCGCTTTGCCCCGCCCGTCAAGCCCGTCAACCCATCGGGCTAACCCGCGGATGAGGTGGGCTAGCCTGTGGTCCGCCTAATTAATAAAAAAATATTTTTTTATTGTAATAAAATTAATTATAAAGATAATATATAAAGTTAAAATTTTAAAAAAGAGAATTAAAAAAGTTTTTTTCTCACATAAAATCTTCTCGTTCTCGAAACATAACATTCTCTCTTGTTCTCCTTGTTTATCCTAAGCACTCGATTATTTTTATCCTTAAAGGTGTAAGAATTACTCAATCAAGAATAATATGAAATTTTATGAAATAAAAAAGATATAGGTATTTGAATTTTTCAATATAAAAATATAAAATTTATAAGTTTAACATTATTTATATATATATATATATATATATATATATATAAATTATAATATATATATATAAAAATTATAATTTCTTAAAATAATGGATTGATTTATATTATTAAATTGAAATAATATATATATATATATATATATATTAAATTATTGACAAATAAATAATCTTATTATTAAATTTATTAAAAAAATATATTAAATTTTTTTTCTAAATTATGGCGATGTCGACCACTAGACCACCCTTTAGCGGGGTGGGCCAAGGCCTACAACCCGTCATGACTATATCGAGTCAGCCGCAGTGCCCCGCTTTTGGCGAGCCAAGGCGGGATGAGCTGACTCGTTTTGCCATCCCTAACACATTTTATATAATATATTTTTGGAATTGTATAATATATTTTTGGAATTGGTTTTCTAAAAATGGTGTTTCAAAATATATTTTTAAAATTAATTTTCAATAAATATATTTTAAAATATGTATTCTAAAATATATTTTTTAGATTGATTTTCTTGAAATGTATTGATTTTTTTTTAGAATTGATTTCCAAAAATACATTTCATCTCCGTATCAGTATTATAAAATGGATGTATTAGTATATGTTTATGAAAAAATTAATTTAAAAATATATTATGGATTGAATATTTTAAAATTTAACCTCATTTTTTAGTATTGTTTCAGATTAAACAATTTAAATATGTTTGTGTAATTTAAGTAAATAAACGTGTAATTTATATATAATATTAATAATTATTTAGTTTTAATTATTAGAAAAAACTTTTAATGAAAATGATAACACAAACAAATTAAATAATTAGAAAATAAAAATAAAAGTACAAAAGTTGTACACAAAAATTTAAAAAATAGAATAAAAAATAAAATTATGAAAAAAATATATAGAAGGTGTAGAAAATGTAAAAAAAAAAAAAGAAACAGTAGCCTCTACTCTATGTTTTATATCTTCTAAGCTTATCTATCACACTATGACACCGCACTATGCGTCCTGTTGATTCATGGGAATCACTTCAAACTTTCAACAAAATAATAAAAAATTGGGTGGCTTTTCTCTTTCTTTCTTTTTTATTTGTTTTCTAAATATTTTTTTATTTAATATTTTTTAAATTTGTTATTATTTCTTAAGTATCGATTTCATTTTCTTTAATTAAGTTAATAATATTATTTTATTGCAGTTGAATTATCTAACAATATATATATTAATATTAACCCATCATTAGTAATATCATATACATTGATATCAACAAAACATTACATCACATTCTTATTGATGAATTTAAAGTTTGTATTAATTAAAAAAATAATTTTATTAGTTAATTTAAATTTTGTACTAATTAAAAAGAAGTAAAAACAAAATTTATACTAAAACTAATAACAGGATAAAATTTTTAAATTTATTTAGATTTTTTTACATGTTTGTTTTAAGTCTCTCACCATATTAATCTAGTTTAGATGAAAAATAAATAAAATAAAAAATAGAATAATCAAAATTCTAGGTCAACAAGAGGTAAGAAAAAACAAATCAATAAAAAAGTTATAATTTTTTAAAAAAATGTAAATATATAACAGTTAATTAACATATAAATGATTAAAACGATATTGATTAAAAATTAAAATAATTAAATAAAAATTAATATGAAAAAAAGTGTAGATTTGAAAAATATTTAAAAATTAATTAAAAACATTGGAACATGGAAAATTATGCAAAGTGATTTAAAACTGTTTATATATATTTTTTAACATATTAACTTTTTTTACATGGTGAAACATGTAATATATTCCATACTTTATCAAGCAAACTTTATTAGGCAAAATTATGTAATATATTTAAGAATCTTCTAAAAAAAATGATGTAATAAATATATCTCTGTAATACAATTTTTGAAGCTTCCATGGTTAGTGGTGACAGAGGTTGAAAGTGTTGAGTTGAAGTTGCAGCAAAAGCAAAGCAAAGCAAAGGATGCATTGGTTGGGTCCTGACGTACCCGTGTTCGACCCCAATTTCAGTTACAATCACAATCCCTACTCCTACGACGATGACCTCTTTCAAAACGACGTGGCTCTGCCCTATCTCAACGATGCCGTTTTGGCCCATCACCACGACGGAACCTCCCCTCTTCCCTTGGGCATGGATTGGAGCCCTCCGCCGCGCGAATGGGCGGGTCGCAACACTGTTTGGCCACGTCATCCTCCCACCGGTTGGAGCTTCTGCGTCACGCTTCCTTCGTGGGTTACTGTTCCCCAATCGCTACCCTCTGATCCCGTTGTGGTTAGTATCTATAATATTCCTATAACCACTTTCTCTCTAACCTTTTTCTTATTTTATTACGTTTATTAACTTTCGTAGGTTTTTGTTTGCAGTTTTTTAGGGTTCAAGTTGCTATACAATCCCCCGAAGCAATCACCACCACTCGATTAATATTACGTAGATTTAGTGACTTCGTCAACCTCTTTTCAGAAGTAAGTGTGTGTTTTCAACGCTTCACTCTCTTTTTCTGCCCTGTTCTGTGTGGAGAAGAATTTTACTTTTTTTTTTGGCAGCTGAAGAAAGAATTTGCCATGAAAAATCTGCCTCCACCTCCACCTAAAAAGATGCTCAGAATTAAAAGCCAGACACTTTTGGAAGAGGTATATATATATATATATATATATATATATATATATATATATATATATATATATATATATATATATATATATATATATAGTAGTATCAGTGCAATGTTTGTCTATTTGAAAAATGACTTAGTTCTATGGAGTTTCATACTCACAAATTTCTTAATTTCAGCGACGGTGCTTGTTAGCAGATTGGATCGAGAAGGTGTTATCAGACATTGATGTATCAAGAAGTGCCCCGGTGGCAATATTTCTTGAGCTAGAAGCTGCTGCTAGATCATGTGTGTTTTCTTTTTTACTCTTAAACCTAAACGTTGAATATAGTGAAAACGGGTTAATTCCCTTTTGTGTCTTAAAATACACATAGGGTAATATATTTATAATTAAGAGTCATGAAAGTAAATATGGTAAATGTATATATTGTCACTAATAATATCTAAAATATCTAACACTCACCCTCAAGCTATGCATATAAATCATATGTAACAAGCTTGTTACTAATATAATCAATTTTAGGTCTTCGTAAAAATTTGGTGAAATTATCTGTTAATTGTTCACTTGAGTTAACAAACGTGATTTTAATGTCTCAAAATGTAATGACAGTCAACTTCAATGTGTTTGGTCTTTTCATGAAAGACAATATTAGAGCTAATATGTAGAACAACCTGATTGTCAAGTGTCATTTGAGTGATATCTCCTAATTATAATTCTTTAAGGAATTGTTTAAGCCAAACAAGTTCATAAGTGGCTAAGGCCATAGCTCTATATTCTGTTTTTACATTAGATCTTGCTACAACACTTTGTTTCTTGCTCTTCCAAGAGATCAAGTTACTTCCAATAGAAACACAGTATCCGGAAGTAGATCTTCTATCAGAAGGAGATTTTGCCTAGTCAGCATCTGAATAACAGACAACTTTAGCCTGGTTATTGTGATTATATAACAAACATTTTCTAAGAGATCCTTTAATGTACTTTAATATACGAATGACTATACTCCAATGATTTGCACATGGAGAATTAAGAAATTGACTTAATGCATTAACTGCAAAGGAAATGTCAGGACAAATAATAGTAAGATAGTTTAATTTTCCAACTAATCTTTTATATTTCTCAAGATCTGAGAGAGGCTCCCCCTGATTAGGTAGGTATTAGGATCCATAGATGTGTTAACAGATTTTGAGTTCATCAACTCAGTTTCTTCTAAAATATTCAATACATACTTTCTCTGAGATATAACAATGTCATTATTGAATTTGACTACCTCAATCCTCAAGAAATATCTAAGTTTTCCAAAATCTTTGGTTTAAAAGTGGTGACAAAGGTGTTGCTTTATCTAGGAGATGCCGTAGTGATCACTTCCTGTAAGAACAATATCATCAACATATACTATCAAATAGATACACCCAACACTTGAGTGACGGTAAAATACTGAATAATCTGCCTCATTGTGAATCATACCAAACTGTTGAACAACACTGCTAAATTTTCTACACTAGGCCCTAGGAGACCGTTTTAGACCATGTAAAATATCTAGAATATTTAAAATATCTAACCCTAAACATAATAACCATGTGTCATTTAATGTTCAGATTTAAATAGCTCTTCGTTTCTTGAAAGTGTAAACAAAACGGTCCATCATGATGTTCCACAAACATTTCATGCCCTTTTGCTGCTGATTTATTGCAGCCTTCCATGATGTTAACGAGCATCCGGATGAAACCTCTGCTAATAGTACTACACCTGCAGAAGTGTTTCAGGATAACTCGCCTGGTTATGTAATAGCTCATGGTGCATCTGCTGCATCTGTTTCTGGTAATGATGCATTTTCTGAGCTGGGAGCATCACAGCATGGGAAGGATAAGTATTCTGATCAAATTATGGATAATTCAACATCAGAGCATGGCTTAATTAATCAAATTGAAGCAGCTATTGATCATGCCATATCTGGCGAAGACTTAGTTAACAAGGATAATAGTACAGGCAAAGATGCTATAACTCTCAACCTAGATGGATCTGAGTTTACACCCTCTGTAAGAGATTATAACTTAAATGCTCAGGCTAAGAGGCCCTCAATAGAAAGCATTGGAAGTGACATAAATTCTTTAAAGAATACGGAAACCACCACGACCACTTTGGTTCAGGATGTTGCACTCGACCTTGCTGGGACCCAGGAAGCCTCCAGAAACTCGGATTTATTGTTGACTTTTCCATTGGATGAGCGACACAAGTTAAACAAAATTCTCAATACTCAGAAACAGAGACTGGTCACTGCAAAAGCAGATGTTGAAGATCTTATAGCAAGATTGAATCAAGAAATGGCTGCAAGACAATATCTTGTGACAAAGGTATGCAGTATATGCTTAGATATTTCGTTTATTACTGAATTTGACATAGAGATTTTTGTTTGTGACTTGCTTAATCCTATTACCATATGCGTTTAGGACAAATCTTTTCCACCTGTATGGTGTTTTTCTTTGGCAGAATGTTGGTTCCTACCTACTTCTTTTATTAAAAACCTTGAACCAGTGTCATGCCATAGATTTAATCATGTGCCTGTGGTTCATATTCAGCACATTGCCATTAGAAAGTCAGAATTTCATACCTGTTTATACTTTGTTGATTATGTCTGTATGATATAACATCTCGTTTGTGGCAGTACTGTACATCAAGTCATCAAACTGTCATTTACTGGCCAAATTATCTTTTACAGTGTTGGTTGATTATAGGACCAAACCTCTAATCTTGTACAATACAGCAGTAAGCAAATGAATAACATGAAGCACGTAGGTTGATCTCTTCTATATTTGATGTCTGAAGAATAAGTTTATTGTTTACAGAATTAGATGAGGCTTGTGGAAGACTATATGTGCGAATGTGTAGGATCAGCAGAAAACTTTGTTTCTGGAGTATGCAGAATGAGCTGTTTTCTAATTATTGCCGACAGGATAGTAGGAAGTTGAAAATGGATGTTAGCAGTTTTTCAATACTAGAAGTCCATGATTTCCATTATCTTTGTTTCAGTTTCTGTCAAAATTACCTTTCTATCAAAAAAATAAGAAAGTTATCTGTTGAATTTAATGACCAATCAGTTAATAATGTAGTAAAGTTATCTGTCTAATATTGAATAATGAAATTGGGAATAATGGTATAATTAAAATTAGAGGCATCATATTATATTTTCTCTGCATTTGACAAATGAAATTTAATAGTTCTTGAAAATTAAGCATTGAATTTGTGATTTTGAAAGTAATAAAGGAACATATTTGCATTTAATAAAATATGTTAAGGTTCCAACATAAAACCAATTGGCAATATGTGGAGTAGCCTAACATGTATTTAAACCATACCAACACACCCCCTCCAACGAAGTCTGCCGGACCAGGCAAAGGGTATTTTTGACCCAACTAAAGGGCAACTTTTTGGCCCATGACAATAACCGGAAAAATATTAGGCTTTGGCTCTGATATCATGTTAAGGTTCCAACATAAAACCAATTGACAATATGTGGAGTAGCCTAACATGTATTTAAACCATACCAAATGATATGAGGTAGGCGATGTGGGACTTTCAACAAAATAAATTAGGTTATACCTTTCCCCCGTTGAGGACAGTGTTTTCTGATAAAATTATAGTTTTGTCTTCTTTTTTAATAAACGTGACTGGTAATGAGTAGAGATTGCTAGTTATTTTGTAACAAGTTCACTCTCCTCAATGATGGAAAACTGACAAGTGAGGACGTTTTATTGGGCATTTGTATGTTATATGTTCAAATATTTCATTTTACTTGTAGGTCAAAGATTTGGAAGTTGAACTTGAAACAACTCAACTGAACTGCCGAGAAAACATGCAGCAGGCTGTTTTAGCTGAAAAGGAAAGGTTGACACAAATGCAGTGGGATATAGAGGAACTTAGGAGGAAATGCCTAGAGACAGAAATGAAATTGAAGTTCGAAGAGGTATATTGTGATGGTGTACTTTAGTCAACATCTCTCGTCATTGCATTTTGTGGTCGGCTTTTAGTGAAAAGTTATACTGTTTTAGGATGAAAGGCTGCTAGCAGAATCTACAAAAGCATCTGTCATTCAGGAGAATCAAATGTTGCAGCAAGAACTAGATGTAGCAAGAGAACAACTTAAGAACTTGCAGAATCATCATGATGAGTTTGAGATAAAATCAAAGACAGATTTGAAGGTTCTAATTAAGGAGGTAAAATCCCTTAGAAGTTCTGAGTTAGAACTGAAGCAGCAGCTTAGTGAATTGATCAAGGAGAAGTTAGATTTGGAGGTATGGTCCTTTCTGGTTCTTGTACGTTGCAACCAATACTGAATGATTTTTCTTATTAGACTAGGAAACTATCTATTTAACTGGTTCCATGAGTTCAAGAGAAGGAAGGGGTTGAGTTGATGCAATTAATTATTTTGATTAGTTCCTTCCAGAATCTTTACATTTTATTCACAAAAATGTTGAAATTTCTTATTTATTATCTTTTTTATTGAAAGGGTTCAAATATTCTGTTCTGCTGTGTCCTAAAAGTTTGGAAATCCAATTCTTTTTCATGGTATGTTTTCTTGTTTTCTTTTTCAGAGAATTCTCCAGAAGGAAAAGCAAAGAATGGAAAATTCACATAATGCTAATACGAAGTTGCTGCATGAGTGTACAATCCTTCAGAAGAGGCTTCGCGAATGCAGTGTAAATTTCCTTGTTGAAGAAGAAGATAAGCTTAATATCGACACTTCACCATCTGATGCTCTGGATTTATTAGCAACATCAGATAATCGGATTGGTCTCTTGCTTGCAGAGGTATGACATGCACCTTGAGCAACAATTTTGTCCTTAGATATTTACTCTCTGAGCCACCTGATAAAACGCGGCTGGCTATTACTGCTGTTCTGGCTTTTATTCTTTGCGTTTATGCATTATGCCTCTTTAAGTGATCATCATTTTACTAATTGCGTTTAAAATCCATTTATCTATTACATTCTTGAAAATTATTCTACCTCCCCCTCCCTCTCTGGTTTTTATTCTCTAAGTTTATGCATTATGAGATCTTTTAAGTGCTCATCATTTTACTAATTCCGTTTTTTGTTCATTATTACTTTCGTTGGCATTTCATGAGAGCCATTATCATCCAGTGTAACACAGGCTATGTTGTTACGTAGCAATCATCATTAAGGTTATTTTTATTTCATGCTTCCCTGCGCTACATAGACTTCTATTTACTGCCCCCCCTCTAAACAGGCACAGCTCTTGGCACAAGATGTAGAGGATGCTGTTGTTGCTGTGGAAGAGACCCGTGATGCAACAACCGACAGTTCTGGGAAAACGTATGATGAATTGAGGAAGATGCTGGCACATATGTTTGTGGACAATGCCAGTTTAAGGAAACAAATCAATAAAGTAATTCGTTGTGCTCTAAATGCAAATGTCAATTCTGAAGAGGAAGGGGAAGAAGTCCATTTGCAAAAAACTGTCCTAAGCAAGTTTTTAGAAAGATAGCATGTTCAATCCTAAGCAAATTATTACTGGGTTACATATGTTAATTATGACATGTATTCTTTTGCTCCTGTACGGTTTCAATGCTCGGATAGTGAACGAATAATATGTCCCTTGCTTATGTACTTATACTAATTTCAAGCGTTTATCGTCCCACTAAAATCGACATGAATAGTTGAAGTCACTGGCTATTGCTATCGCATCCATCAATCAATATTAAAAAAGCAACGTAGCTTTTGTTTCTAATGGTGCTCGATCACGAAACCAAGATTACTCTGACTGCTCTGTATACTAAATAAATAATATACACACATGGAAAAATAATTTAATTTTACAAAAACAGTTGCAGCTGTTGCAAATGGCACGTCCAAGACTGACTGTGGTCAGCAGTAATTCTCATTCATAAGCCAACCAACTAATCACCACCACCACCAAACAATCCTCCCATTCCCATCATGTCTTTGGCTGATCCCATCTGCTTCATCAAGTTTTGTAACCCGCCCATGCCACCGATTTGCTTCAGCATCTGCGGAGGGAGTACTTTGCTCATGTGCTGGGCATTCATATTTCGGGATAGGGCACTCATTTCTCCTTTCTTTGGTATTTTAAGTCCTTTCATTTTGCTCCATATCTTTGCAAGACGTTTGTACTCTTCCATCATCTCCATAACTTCCCTAATTTGACGACCTGCACCTCGAGCTATCCGCATCATACGTGACTCATTCATGAGCTTTGGGTTTGAACTATCCAACTCTGAAACGTATCAGCAATTAATGGTTAGCACGTGAGTATGTAATTCCAAGGCGAACCTGAATCATGGATGCATAAAGTTGATCACAACAATAAAAACGTAATCCTTGCCTTCGTTTGTCATTGAATCCATCATTGTCATGTAACGCTTTATTTTTGCCTGGCTTTCTTTCTCACGGCCTTTTGGCATTAATTCCGCACTAAATCCAGGAAGCATAGAAAACACCTAAATAAACCAAGAAGTTAGTTAAATGAAATAGCAGCCATTATTAATTGATTATATAAGAACGATCAAATAAACACTCTCTTTCATCAAACGTAAATATATCAAGAATAAAATTCAATGGAACACAATAAGGTAACGAGTAATAACCTGGCTGATAGGACCCATTTTCATTATGTTCTGAAACTGCTCATACATAATCCTCAAGGTGAAGTTTCCTTCTGACAGCTTTTGAAGCAGTTCAGGTTGTTGATCCATAGGAACAACTTCTTGAATTTTGTCCATAAACCCAGACCAGTCACCCATTCCTAGTTCAAAAGCCATTTGACAAGACTAAAGATTAAATATTTATAGGAACCCACTGCTTGTTTTTCTTGATGAATAATAATGTATTAGATGAGATAAAAGAAAAAAGAAATGAAAAAAAAAATATACACCTAATAGACGACTGACAAATGGCTTCACATCAAAAACTTCAAACTCATCCATATGTTCTCCCGTTCCAATAAATATGACGGGACTCTTTGTTGCTGCAACACTGCACAAATATAAAATTAAGAGTAAGGTATCCAAACCACCACATAATACATACTTGCACTTTAAATGCAAACAAATCCGTTTATAATATTAATTTTCCAAAATTCTTTAAATGATAAAAATTTTAATTTCTGTTGTGTATATGTAATATTTATATCACTAAGATAGTTCAAATATGGATTGGAAAATTGAAATAAACTTGCTAGACAAGTGCAAGTGCAATTATACTTGTATAGCTTTAATCTTATATAAAGTGTTCATAACTCTTGAATTTGTTCATTTGCATGAAAGATTAATAGCCATTCAATTAACTTGTTCATAATGGCAAAAGTCGATAGTAAATATTATACAATTATTTTCATAACACTTACGCACTAAGAGCACCACCACCTTTTGCATGGCCATCCATTTTGGTAACTATTACAGCTCCAACTGCAACGCTCTGTTTAAATGCTTGGGCTTGATCAAAAGCAGCCTGACCAATACTGCTATCCATAACAAATATAACAAGATCTGGTTTCTGAACAATATAGAAACATATTAGTGTTTAATGGATTTTGGAAATAAATATCAAACACATAGCAGAAATGGGATATACCGTTGCTTCTGAAACTTGACGCATTTCTTCAAAAAGAGCAGCTTCTTGTTTGTGCCTCCCACTGGTATCAACAATTATAAGATCACAGTTTTCTTCCTTGAATCTCTCCACACCATCCACTGCAATTTTTACAGGATCGGATTCCATATAGCTGCAGAGAAATGGGGGCCCAACGTTGAAATAATTACTAACAGATTGAAATTGAAGACAACGGAAATGCAACTAATATAGAAGGTTACATAAACAGATAATATTATGCTAAACATATCCTAGCTCACCTTCAATGACTTAAAAAAGGGATAAACATGGTTCAATATGGATGCGCCCTTTCAAAATTTAAATGATTAAAAACAGGAAAAATGTGAAATCATAATACAAAAACTACACAGATATCCTCTAGGGGACGGGGAGAATGATAAGTTCACTCTATGGTGGGGTTAAGATATGACATTTTCCAAATTATCCATGTATTTTTAAGAGGCTCGGAATTTGATCGTCCTTTTTTTTTTCCTTCTGCTTTGCCCCTCTTTTTTTTATCAGGTCAGCATTACATGCCTCAGACTCAAATTGTTAAAGGTGATTTTGTTCATGAATAATCATTGATCTAACCTTGTCTTCATCTAACATTTACTAAAAGAACATAGGTAAGCACTGATATTGGGATGCACTATTTACAATAAAGCAAAATTCTTGCAAAAGACCATTCTTCTAGAAATAGACCTTCAAATTCATCTTCAGAGAGAACCAGCGAGATCCCTTGGAAGATTATTCCCCTCATTTTCAGAATTAACACAAAAATATAGTAAACTAAGACACTAGCTACATAGAAATAAAAGTGGAGTTGCACTGATCACCACCTATAAACATATTTTTGAGGCATCCAATAGAAAGTCTACAATTTATTTTGACAATCTCCCACATTAAAAGTCTTCATGAACAAGAAAATAGTACTATATTAGAGGCTACATACAATAAATACTAAGATCAACGAGTACCTTCCATAGAAAGGGATCTTAGCTTTGGTAGAATTTTGCTTCAATTGATCAAATGCACCAGCTCTAAACGTATCTGCACATACTAGAGCTGGCTTCCAGCCTTTCTTCTGATGATAATATGCGTATTTTGTACAGGTTGTGGTTTTCCCAGAACCTGAATTCATTTGAAATGATAATATACTTTTATTTTTGTTTCTTAGTTTAAAATAACATTCGAAGTTGAAAAATGCTTCAAAAAACTCAGGATAATTCATATAACATAACTAAAAGAGCTTCAAGGAGTTCAAATTTGGTAACAGACCTTGCAAACCAACAAACATGACAACACTTGTTTTCCCCTTTTTGGGAGTGAAAGAGGGCTTCCCAGGGTCCAGTATTTTGCAGAGTTCGTTAAACACAGCCTGCAAATGGAAACACAATCCATAAAGTGTTACTAGAATAAGTAATAACAACAAACATATCATCATTTACATAATCAATTAACAGGAACAGAAAAAGAGATAAAAGAAGTACTTGTTGGATGATCCTGCGTTTGTTGTGACCGGCAGCGAGATCATCGAGGTTAACAATGTTCTTGATATTAGTCTGCATATCACGAACGAGCTTGAATTGAACATCGGACTGGAGAAGAGCGCGGGTGATGTCGTTGAGGCAATCATTGAGCACCTTCTCGTCGATCACCGTTGCATTGCTCATCTGCTGGAGAGCACGCGAAATGCTCCCCCCTAACTCCGCCAGAACCATCTTGTTCTTTCCTTCAACAATTCAATTCCAGATTAGGGTTTCAGCACCACACGAAAACAAGGGTTACTGGTTCATATTCAGATACTCCTCACTCTCTTTCTCTTCCACCGCCGGTATAGCGAGCGGGGTATTATAGGAAAAAGAAACTATAACCACTAATGGGCCTTGGCTCTATTGGGCCTCCATTTTGTAGCCCATATCTTGTGCCTCTTCCATTATGTTATGTTAGTAGGAGCGGTTTGTGGTTGGTGGTGAGGGAAAAGATAGATATGGCAGTTTCAGAGATAAGTTGGAGTTGGAGGGTTTTGTGTAGCAGCCACAGAGTTAACACGCCAAACACGCCCTTGTTCGTCCAAATCCCATTGCCAATTGGCTTCACCAGGTGCTCTTCTTGTGTTGTTGCTCGCGCTCTGGACCCTAAAAGGGAAGATCAAAACTCTACCATTACTTCTCAAGTAAAATAAAAAAACTTTTTTTATTATTTATTACACTAATTAATTTACTTCTCAAGCTATCATGTTCATTATTGAATTAATAATAATTCTTTTAATTGCATGATGTAAAATAGGAGGACTTAGTGTACGTGGGAAAAGTAGTGGCAGGTTCTTTTGTGGGTGGTGGTGCAATCAAGTATGGAAGCGCTCTTTTCCCTGAGATAACTACTCCGAACCTTGTGCTAGCTCTCGTTATCATCTTAACTCCTGTGCTTGTTGCTGTTTTTCTTTTGATCAAGGAAAGTCGTACAGACCAATAGGAACTTTATATCTGTGCTATGGACATTCCAAATATTGTTGGACATGTTGTCAAAGATATTAAGTATAAAGTAGTTAGATATCGGGTTATTTGTAAAATATCAAACTGCAAATGTTCATTATTAATGATTGTCTTTCGGACTGGACGGTCATTCCACTAATATACTATTTTTCGTTTGGAGAATGTATCTTTGATCGACAAGTATTTACGATTAAACTTGAAGATAGCTTTTCTTTTAAATAAATTACATTGCTATAATAATAATATTAATACATGAAAACAAACTATCCAGTGTGACTTTTTGAAAAAACTAAGGCCGGTTTAGATCAGATGTTAAAAGTAATGTTTTAACAATTAATTTATACTTAACTATTATTATTATTATAATAAATAAATCACATAGAAAAAAATTATGTATAAATGTATGGATTGAAAAGTTTGAGATAATTTATTGTTTGAATTATTTAAAAATTATTTTTCCAAAAAATTATAAAAGGAAGAAAAAATGTTTGCAATAACTAATCTTGCATTCAAAAGGAAAAAAAATATATTTTTATGATAACTTCTACACTAATAATATTTTGGATCTAGTTAATTAGGGTCCTGTGATCACGAATAAGAAGAAGGCGGTTATTGGAGATCATATAAAATAATAATAAAAACAAATAAGACACTTTTTACACATTTCAATAAAAAATATTTATACTTTTAATTCCTTAACGAATGTATTAGTATTTAAATTTAAACATGTTAATTTAGATGGAAAGAGTACAACTAAACACAAGAATTCACTAACAGCTATGTCGTAGGTATTTCACTCGAATTGAGGTTAGACTTCCTTTCAGATGTGCACTAGTTTTTCTTAGTGCAACCTGCTCACAGTACAATTTGACGATCCTTGAACAAGTTATTCTGTATAAATCGTCTTGTTCCAAAATTTACAAACAAAAAACAAATAAAAGAATAAGCATCACTACTTGTTTGATTTTGCCACGTAGCTAAAAATTCAGTTAAAGCATTTGAAGAAAATGTTGTATGCATTAGCTCCTTTCCTTCCAGTAACTGTAGAGATCATGAGAACTGCTAACCCGCATTAGGTAAACAAAATCTTGCAGATTCTGCTCTACCCAACAACCCCATGGGACTAGAGATTATCTTTCAGCCACTTTAAAGCTCCATTTGCCACAGATCTGCAAGTTTCAGTGGCAGAAAGTTCAGTACATTACTGTCAACTCAACTCAACTCAACTAAATGAATGAAACAATTACCAAATATCAATGACTGAAGAAACTTTTAATCTGACAGTCGGACAAGTATAAACATTTTTTTTTTTGGAATTTTAGCATCCCATAAAATACAATACACGGCGGATTCAAAACAATCTATAAATCCGCACAGATAAACCAGTCCAGCTCAGTTTGTCAAACCATTTGTGAGGACTCAAACAAAAGTAAAACGAATCAACGATTCAACAGAGTAGCAACAATCTCCATTCCCATGTATCAACTCAATGAGAAATAGTCTTGTATTAAGCATGACTTCTTACATGGAAAAACAGCACTGGAGTACGGAAAGAAATTGACATAGATTAAAGAACATAGTCTACGCTCAAACTTATTTAATACAGAACTACAAGTCCTCTCAAGAGCTCATGTTATGCTAAGGATCTTTAACTCCATCCTACTAAAATAGAAATGCTTTTTTCAATTGTTTTATACGATAAAAAGAAGAGTGTTTATCTGCATAAATTAGTCATTAAAATCAGACTTAAAGTTTTCAGTTTGCGAAAAGATTTAAAGAAAATTATTACCCAGCGAAGTCCTTCAATTTATTCCATACATCGTTTTCTTCTTCTGATTTCTCACTTTGTTCTTCCACTGTTGCTGTTGGACTTTCATCCCTTTGAACTGTAGCAGTTTCCGTACCACCTGCTGCAGAAGGTAAAAATATGGTTCACAGTTCAAATATAGTATCTAGTCATTGCATTTTACGATTTCTCTACTGCAACATTAAAAAGTTGTTTTGGCAAATGACTATGTTCCTATAGATTGTAGGATAGGGATGGGGGGACAAACAGATATGTCAATAATAGAAAAGCCACCTACTTGAAGAGTGGGTCTTAGGACGGGATTTTAAACGTCTGCTTGTGTCACCTAGAGAAGCAAGCTCTTCAAGCAACTCACGCTCCTTTGTACTGAAGAGGCAATGCAGAGTGAATTGATATCAAACTTCTGAGATAGATTTCATCAGATATAGACAAAAGAAAAATACATAAAGACTTTTTACCTAATACGTTTTGGTATTGTAACTTTAACAGTAAATAGGTGATCACCACGTATTGATGGTTTATTTAATTTTGGTACACCTTTTCTTGCAAGGACAAGGACATCTCCAGGTTGGGTACCAGCAGGTATTTGTAGCTCTGAAATTCCTTCAACTGTCTTTACCTGTTTTGGTACCGAATTCAATTCGTTGACGACGAGGACACAAATTAACAGGTCACACCAGCATTGATACATCAGAACATAAAAAGCTAAAAAAATAATAATTAAATATCTAGCATATATTAAACCTTGTACCTTTACATTCAATAATAAAAAAGCAATAAATATCACAAAATAAAATAAAATAAAATAAAGAGGCGAAGACTGTATATTCAGTCATAAAAAATCTTATTAGCCAAACATGTTTGCCAAATATCAGTTGGTGAAATAACATATGTAAATGATTTTTTTCCCATATAAAAAGAAAAAAATAATCCCTTATCCTCAACTTTTACAATACTAATAATGACACCATTTTTAATATAATGGTCATGATAAATATATCATTCCATAGCTTCCATCCAAATTAAGATATGAATATATGTATCATTCTGAACATGAGCAGATATCGTGTTATTATTGCAAAAATAAAAAATAAAATCTACGCCAATGCCTGAATGTCCTAAACCCTAATGCCAAGTGTCAAGTTTTACACATGGTAACATGTTTAACAATGAAAACTGTTGGGATAATTTTTTGCCACCGAAGCTAAGAGGACTAAACCTATATGAAATGATCCAAAAAATATTCAACCTCAAAGCATGAGTACTGAATTAATTTACCTTCATAACAGCACCCAGTATAGCATCTAGGTAACTGATTGATAGTGTTGAGCGGAGATTGATGTCATCCCTTTGAATTCCAGGTATCTCTTGAACGTCAAGATAGACATAAAGATCTCCAGGAGGGCCGCTGCTATGACAAGAGAAATAGGCACTTCTAGGTCATGTATCTAATGATAAAATAGTCTAAATTCACATACAAGTAAACCATTTCCATTTAAGGAAACATTAGGATAGTTTATGCCCGATGTGTTCCTCTCTATACATACATTTCCCATTAAGTAATAACATATGGAGCAGACTGTACGGTAGCATTCTTTGTATCCTACCCGAGTCATTTTTTATAGATATGTGCTCAAATTATAGTCATTCATATGGGGGCATTTGTCCCCCCGAGACAGCTACACTTATGAGGATGCCTTTCCTTTGCTTATATGTTTCTTTTGATTAAGCAAGACAGATACTAAAACTCCTTTTAATTTGAAGACCCGTCCTTCCTTCATCAGAGAGCAAGAAAAACTAACTGATGGAAGGTGTGTATACCATTTACATTTACAATAAAAGCAAAACACACAAATTATCAATATAACTATTATGCAATATTTGGTCAAAGACCTTCACAATGAGAATACCAGACATTAATATAAAAACAGCATACCCCCTTGGTCCAGCATCACCCTCCCCAGAAACTCTTAGAATACTGCCAGAGCTAACACCAGGAGGAACTTTAACTTTAATATTTTTCTTAACCCGTATTCGTCCTTCACCATTGCATTTACGACAATATTCAGATATGACTTCTCCATCCCCACCACAGCTTGGACATACTGAAACCTATTATTGAGAAAGAGAATAGATTAGAATAGTAATATTAAGCAGACCAAAAGTACAAGAATTTTACATCGTATAAGAAAACTGCGACCTTGTTGTGATGATGATGAAATAATATAACCAAATGCAACATAAATCAATTATTCCGACAAGTAAAGCATGAGGATGTCTAAAAACATGAAAAGAAATGGAAAATTACAAAGGGACATGCAGAATGTCTGTTCAATGGAGAAACTTACTTGGAAGACACAAAGCGCAGTATACAAAATTAAAGGAAAAATTTTATATACTCCATGAGGCAAAGAACTCAAATTACCTGTGAAAACAACCCAAAAGGTGTTTGTTCAGTCCTCATAACCTGACCCCTCCCACCACAAGTTGAACATACTCTCATCTTGGAGCCTATCTTTGCTCCGGTACCAGTACAGACTTCACATGTTTCCAAATGAGAAAGATCAAATTCTTTCTCTGTTCCAAAAATTGCCTCAGAAAACTCTAAGGAAAAATCATACCTGTTGACATTTGAATCACAAATCATCTCAAATCACAGTTTGGAAGTTGCAATATTTCCATATATAGAACTGTCAAGTCACATGTTTTGAATGCAGAATTGATATGATAGGATATAATACAAAATTAAATATTAGAATTTCAAATTATCAAATAGTAATTGGAGAAAATTATTGCTTACAATTTTCCCCATATTAATATTATATGTTTAGGAGCTAGGCCAGTTTTATAACTAGTTAGGTGATTTGGGGGTTAGGAAGTTCAATAAATAAGAGAATGTTAGGGGAAAGAATGTGTTCTATCTTGTTGTTTTGGAGATTGAGATTTACTCTGTGAAATGAGAAAATATTTGTCTATGTAGGGAAAACCACTGGAGGAGAGAGATCTCGTGTATTGAAAATCTATATAAAAAAAATAAAATCATTCTTTTCATTTTCCCAATTCTGATTTTGGTTCGGATAATATGTAGAAGTGTTTTGGGTGTCAAATATTGTCTCACATAGAATCATTTCCCCTAATCAATCCTCTTCCTCCAACTAAAGCATTAGTTATTTTCTGTCTGTGGATTTGTTCCATGTACTTTAAGTCCTTAAAGAGGACCATTACCAAGTAAGAGAAAAAAACAAGACAATAAGCTTTAAAGGGACAATAAGAGAAAAATAAGAGAAGCAGAAATGAGAGATATATGACTACACAAGAAATGGCAGGACACAAAAAAGATTGTCTTAGAAATATTGTTATGACTATAGAGAAAAAGATGGCAGAAAATTGATTAAGATGGTTTGGACACACAGAAGCACCAATGAGGAAAGTAGGTTGTATGATTTTTATCAGTATGAAAGGAGTACACTGAGATGGGGATTAAAAAGGGACATGGAGGAAACTAAGGTTATTGTTGTTGTCACGTCTGTATTTTCCAATACTATTTGAAATCCTCTACAGGTTACACAAACTAAGTCTAGCCTCACTAGATAGACTTAGCTATATATGAAACAAACATTGTCCATTGACCTCAACCAAAAACAAAATAGTCAAAAGATGAATGTAGAATAAGAGCCCAAACTTCTATAAAATAAAAATAATTGAGGCACTCTCAACTTCTTATGAAGTTTGACAAGCTTCTAAAAAAGTTGAGGATAAATTGATTTTAAATTATGGAAAAAGGTTGATTCATTTTATCTTCCAATTTCTCTTCTCTTATAATTTCTTGAAAAGTTTATCCAAACTGTGCCAATGCACTACACCCACAACTCACCGAATGTCTTCACCCTTAGTAACAGTACTACGACGAGGAGCTCCAAATCCAGTTGGATCCATGCCACCGAAGCCGCCCATGCTTGGCCCAAAAAATGTCTCAAATAAATCAAATGGATTTGTCTGCAAGAAAGAGATTGTTAAATATAAATCTACTTAGAGAAGAAGCAAAGGAAGGGTGGATAAAGTAAGACAGAGCTTTAGTTGCCATGCATTTCAGTTTTTTTCCCAAAAAATAAGACGATATGTATGTGTAAGCTACCGGTAGATTAACCACTAATTCTGCTAACAAGCAATTTTTTATTATTATTATGGTGATTCATCCATTCAACTATGTATTGCTTCCAAAACTTATATGAAAAGGAAAAATACCGTATAGGCGCTGGACCCTCCTCCGACTGCACTCTTAACTCCTGCCTCGCCATATTGATCATATAAAGCCCTCTTTTTGTCATCTGATAGCACCTGCCAATGTTGTAATTCATAATTCAAAAACTAGTACCACAAATATAATTTAAAACAACTATACGCTAAGTGCTATACTGGTATGACTACAAAAGACTGGTTCATGCCATTGTTCCAGAATAATCTAGAAGTCTTAGGCATTTCCATTTTAAGAGTAACAAATAAAGACTGTCAGAAATCTTCGATGTTGAATCCTTTAAGACACAGAACATCAAAATTAATAAATAAGAATATAAGCTTGAACTACACAATACACACTTATGATGACTCGGTGGTAATCACTTTTTCTGATCTATACTTTAAAATGTGACATCTGTTGTGATTTGATCTGCCATATTCTTAAAAAAATTCACATATTTTAAATAGCCCATTTTTCATAGAAAAAAAATGCAGGAGCAATCATTATGTACTTTCATACTATTTTTCAATTAGAACTGGAATTTCATTTTAATAATTTGCATAAAAAAGGTTTGCATTAAAGGTAAGCCAGGGTTACGGATGTGAAACTCCAATTTTGAATAGACAACAACACTAAGAGTACCTAAGGAACTGCATCCAGGTTTTATCCATTTTTTCCATGGCCCAAAGATGTTTTATATTGGCTGCCATATATTCGACCACAAAATGCAAGAAAATGGACGAAAATATTTGAAAACATTCATTCCGACAAGAAAAACCTTAGAACTGAAAGTAACCAAAATATGGATCTAGTGAGAGGCAGCAGAATCCCAATTGATTACATTCAAAAGACAAATAATTAAAGATAATTATAGACCAAAGCCAATGTGCCTCTAATGTAAGATTTACAGAAAAATAAAAGAATAAAAAAAAAAACGGCACACGTGATCGGACCCTAAACAAAACATCCATTCATTTGCTGAAGCAAGATATCAGTGGATTGCTTTCGAAAGTGATGCTAAACATGCATACAGGTCTAGTAAAGAAGACTAACATAACATAACATAATTGTCAGCAATGTAGTTTCCATGCATACCTCATACGCAGCACTAATCTCTTTGAACTTTTCAGTCGCCCCGGGCTCCTTGTTTACGTCAGGATGATACTGAAGAGAAAACAATGAACACAAAATCAGGCTAATTAGGAATATCCGAATACACTATTAGATGCATTGCATAGTTCAAGTTCCAACAAGTAACCACGAAATCGCAACGATTAGCATCGGATAACTGAATAAGCACTCGAATTCCATTGCAATTTCTAGTTCGCTACCGGAAGCTCAGAATCAACTTCGGATTCGTAATGAATTTGAATAGAGAAGTGGAATTGGACACATACCTGACGAGCTAACCTTCGATACGCGGCTTTGATTTCCTTTCCGGTGGCAGATTTGGAGACTCCGAGAGTGGAATAGTAGTCGGAGGAAGCGGCGAAGACAGTGTGGAAGCGGCGGCGCGTGGGAGCGAGGTTGGGATTGGAAAATGATGAGAAGGAAGAAGAAGAAGAAGAAGAAGGGGAGTGAATGGAAATGAAGCTGTTGTGAGAGCGGAGATGGACGGTGCCACAGAAGCAGGGACAAGTGGAGGGAGGAAGCAGAGAGAGGGTTGTAACGGCCATTGAATGAATGTGGAAATTGAAAGGAATGAATGAGAGAATAATGATAACTAAAAAGACGAAAACATGTGCTTTGTATTTGTGTTCATCATTTTAATTTACCCACTCTGCGTCTGTGCGCGTGTGTGGGTGGGAACTAGGCTAGGTGTGTCGAGCATAAAGGTCAGCTTTTATGGCGTTGCCATCGCTACGAACCAGAAAGGAAGAGACTTCTTGGGACCCACAAGATAAGTTGTGTGGTTTGATCAAAAGTTCGATATTACAAAATGTTAGAAAGGAAAAAAAATGATCGATTTTTTTTTTCTTTCTTTTATTTTATTTTATAAAATTTATGGAGGAAAAAAATATACAGGAGTTATAATTTTCTATGATAATATTTAGATAGATTCACTGTTTTTAACCCAACCGTGATTTGTTCCACTAGATGCTGTTGTACTTTAAAGCAAATTTTATCGCATAGTCAACCATTCAAAATTTGAAGTAAACTATTTTAAATATAATTTTAGTTGATTAATTATTAACTCTCGGCTTGACCGTCATCTGATCTCAATTTAGATATTTATATAGTAATATTTTAGTCACACTAAACTATTTGTTTATTTTAGTGAGTTAAGTTAATATGTGTGTGTACAAATCATTTATATCTGTATGATGACTATATTATCTCATAATGATTTTCATGGTTTATACATATAACTAGTTTGCCTAAATAATATAAACTTAGGTTGGAACAAGTGAAATTTTTTAGGTAAATAATATATTTATAAAACAAAATTACCAAAATATACGTTATCAAATTAGATCATTTTTCTGTTTGTTTGTGTAAAAAAAATTCTTTATGATTTTTCACAAAGATAAAATAATTTCCAATCATGTGTTTTGGATGTTTATTTGGGTTTTCTAAATAAATTCTTAAAGTTTGAATTAATATTTTTTATCTATATTTGTCGTTTTCTCTCTTTCTCACTCCTATTGTATGGAGATGAATCATGTATAGATTTTATTAGTTTTGATTATGTTCTTCTAAATTTTACATTTTGCATGGTTTCCTTCATTTTTTTTTAAGATTTTTTTATAAGAGAAAAATTGATAAGATGTGAATAGATGAAAACCAAATAATATTATAAATATCACACTTTAAATTTTATTTTTATTTTTTCAATGTGAATATATTTTGTCAAGTGAATAAAGTAATAAGTAATATTATAAATAAAGTGAGATAATTGATTATTTGGTTTTAATTGTGTAAGGGTAGAAAATATATAAGAAAGAAAAGAATAATAGGGAGATAATGGGAAAAAAATACTATTCTTTGAAATAAATTAACAATTAATTAGCTGAACTTTGAGAATAAAAAAACATAAAAAAAACTCTTTAAACATAAAAAACTCATTCTTAATTGCGTGTCATCAGTAAAAATAAATCATAAAAATATTATTGTTTTAGAGAATCACTACATAAACAATAATCAGAATTAATTAGATAAATAAGTTTAAAATAAATCTATTAGGATAACTTTTTAAAAAAATATTATCTATGTAAAAATTTTACATATTGACTGCAAAAAATTTATATATTCCCATTTATATGTTCCTTTAATGAATAATACTTTAAAATTCTAATGATTTATAAAACAAATCACTATTACACTTTCATCATAAATTTTAAAATTAATAGCGGATACCTCATTCAGTATCAAAAACCCTTATTTATCAGTCCTGAAATAGGTTTTTGATTATGCATCTGTACTTAATTCGAGTTTAAAAAAATTACTCGTAAAACAAAGGACAAAATAAATAAACTAATAAAAATATGTTGTTATTACATATGAGAACATAATTTTTCAATACATCACCTGCTTTTGTATTTTCTTAATCTGGATCATATGCATTTCTGTATAAAAAAACAGTTTTTTTTTTAACTTATACATTTACAATTAACTTCTTCAAAAACACAAACATTTACAATTAACTTTTTCAAAAACACAAACATAAACGCAATCCTTGAACCAGTCAATATTTGGTGGTAGTAAGTATATTATCTCCGCATGGAAATCAATATTATCATGTATTGAATAACCACTGCAATGCTGATAATCGAAAATCGAAAATAGCAAACTCAATTAAAACATAATTGGTCGTAGACAGTAGGGATGGTACATCAAAGTGATCTTAACAATCTCAGTAATTACAGAACACTCAATGCTAAAGTAGGGATAAATAATTGAATGGACTGACCAATACTCTTATCTATAATGTCAAATTCTATCCAAATCACCCCTGATTTGTGGGAAATGTTACCATTCCTTGACCTACAGCAGCTACAGAAACTTCAACAATTTAGCAACACGCTCTTCGGGATAATTAATTAACCTGGTGCAGCTTTTTTACCGCCTTAATTATGATATTCTACGTATAGATCGCCCTAGAAGGCATCAGGAGGAAAACGCCCAGGAAAAGAGTTGTACTGTTGTGCCTGATTCAAATGCATTCTCAAAGCATAGTTATTCACCTGTCAACAAAGCAATAGGACACAGCATTCATCAGCAAGCACCAAAATGTTTTAACTAAACAAAAAATTGGTTATGATTGTTAATCTGAGAATTACATGCACCATTATAATCACTAATCCCTTTGTCTGAAACAAGGTACATACAGGTTGAAGTATAAAGTATTTTCTTATGTCAAGACGCAATAAACCTAGAATTGCCATGCCCTCTTTTCAGTGCAAGTACAGCAAGGCAAAAAGGAGGAAGTTGGGAGACAACTCTGAAAAGAAAATTCTCACTTAAAAGATCTATGGTTGACTGGAGATAGTGGATTTACTACCATGTCTAAGTCCCATGGGGAGATAGACAGGAGCATATCCACAATCATTAATCAAGTCATTCATATTTCTGAAGTGAAAGTGCTCGTGGCATTTTCTCCTTTTCTCTTCAATTTTACAAAGGAAATGGATTCAAAATTTACGCAGATAATAGTTAAAATTTCAAACTTTAAAACCTAAGTACATGAAGCATTGGAATGTTTTGATCAAAAGTGAACATGTGACAGTGAAGTCAACCAGGATAAAGATGTACCTCAAGAGTTCTGATCTGCTCCTGATATTGAGACACCAACTGCTTTAACTGCTGCAGCTCATGGTTTTTATTCTCATAGTCGGAAAGCCGTTCAAGCTGGATTCTAAAAGCACTTTTAAAGCAATTTTTCTCCTTAGTCAGGGCTTCAATTTGCTCCTTCAGCATCAAATTTTCCTGAAAATCAAATCCATTTATGAGTCAAAACAACCAAAACTAATGGACAATATATTAATATCATCCAAGTGCTACTTCAACAAACCCTTGCCCAATTGCCTGTAACATATATGAAGTGTTAATGTCAATATGAACTGAGAACATTTATTTAGCCGCACGCAAGATGCCAACGCATCAGTAACATGCACAACCAACGATTCTAATGTACAACAACAGCATTCCCAAATTCCCGTGACCAAAATATAAAAAGTAATGCAATTAACACAAGTAATTGTAGCACGCGCATATACTCTTTGAAGGGCGGTTGTTGCCCCAGCACTGGCGTGTGTACTGATTGATTTCTCTAAAACTTCCAGCAATCTAGTAGCGCGAGCTCTGGCATCATCAACGCTGGTAGCACACGTCATCTCTCTAACAAACAAGTCAATCCATTCCGCTCCATCCGCAGGAAAGTTGCCAGCAGCAGGCTGATCCCCAGAAACAGAAGCAGAAGCAGCATCCCCATTCTCTTTCAACGCACCTGCAAGTTTTTCAAAAATCAAACCATCCAAACCCTATAATTAAGCCACAAAATTTTATTAAAGAAATACCGCCGATATCCAACTCCAAAAGAACATCCAATTGAAATTCAAAACCCACGGGTATGAATAATGTATGTAATTCAACTATAAATTTTATTATCCCGAATATAGTGACGAGAATTTAAATAATGGTAACATAATTCGACCTTCGTGGACGACGTCAGGGTGAGGTTGAGGAGCAGTTTGAGAATTATCATCGGCAGATCCCAAACAGAGGCCGTGGAGGCTCTTGATGGCAGCATCTAGGTCATTACCACAATCTTGAAGGGCTTTCTCGAGGATCTATGACAGTAATGTAAGGCAATGAATTTGAATTTAATCATGAAAGAAAGAGAGAAAAAAAGAATAAGGAAAACCTGGTCATCCATATGAGGGAAGAGGGGGCGAAGGTGGTCGATGAGGGAAGGGAAAGAGAGGCGAATTGGGGAAGAAGAACAGCGGAGCCTCTTGGATACTGGCGGAGAAGGGGGAAGTTCGTCGAACAAAGATCTCTTGTTTCCGCACACGGCAGCAGACATCGTTCAATTGCAACAATTGTGCCCGCTTTTCTTCTTCTTTCTATTCTATCTTTTTCTTCCCCAAATAATAATACCAATTCAATTCAGTTCAATTTCACACGATATAGGGTTGGATTAGGGTTGAACGGAGAGGAAGGTAATAACGAAGAGGGAACGAGGGGGGTTTATATCATGGATTGAAATAATATGCGTCTCTTGGATAGGTCAAGTTCCCAACAAACAAGTTACGCCTGTTCTGTCCTGTTCCAAATCTGAAGCCAGAGTTAGCTTTCTATGCCATTTACTCTATACTTTTTTTTCCCTCCCTTCTTTTATCTCCTACTACCCTCACCATCCTAACTTTTTTTTTTAATATTTAATTTAATAAAAAACATTATTTGATTTTCAAATTAGCTTTATACCCAAAAATCATATATTTATTTTTAATAAGGTTTTGTAATTAAGCGTGTTTATTCAATTTATTATATAAAATCTTTTTTACAATCTTTTAGAATTAATTCTTTATATACACATATTCAATTTTATTGGTTCAAATTAAATTATAATAATGTCTTACATATATTTTTTTTTCATGGTAACAAATACACACACATTCTTTTACATTGATGAAAAATTTATATTTTATGTAGTTATTGAGTAGTAAATATACATAAAATTTATTTATAAATTGTTGAATGTTGTGTTAGGTTGGTAAATGTGACGACAAAAATTGCAAAACCATATCAGAAGATCGACAGAAATTAGTCAATAATGTGCCTAAACAGTTCGATTTTGACATTGATGATATTTTGTGCAGTGCAGAACGTGGAAATGGATGAAGAAAAAAATAAGTTTATAAAAATATTGTTTGCTCCTTTAGACGTGGGATTGCTCACAAAAGTCCGTGTGAACATTTTAAATTAGAAATTCTTATGAACATTTTTTTTTAAGTTGTTGCAAGACGCTAAATGATCACATCGGTTGTATTATAGTAAAGTCACGTTGTTCTGTGTTTCTAGCAAAACAATTAAACTAAAAATTCTGCAAATAGATAGGAAACATTTTTGTTTTGTTTTTTGTATACAATTAGTCTAAATTCAACATCTTTCAAATAACATATACCATTTCTTATTACATTCTCACATTTCTTCTTCTGCAATTGCTCAAGATACAATAAGATAGTTTTCAATTAAGACACATACAATACAAGATAGTTTTTTTTTTTTTTTTTTTTTTTTTTTAACATAGATTTTTCAATTAACACTTACTATGTGCTTTTATTTTTCCCATTTGTTGTTTTTTTTTCTTAAATTTTTGGTTACCACTTTCTCTTGTACCAAGAATGAAAATTTGTTATACATGGACAATAAATTATAAATAAAGAAAATATTATTCAATTAAGAAAAATAAGGAGGCAAGTGGATTATTTATTGGGTTATATAATTTGATGACTGAATTCAATAAAATTAAACCAAAATAGATTAAATGTAATTTTTTAATTCAATTTAATTTATTATCTTACAAACCAATTTAATTAAAGTTATTAAATAATAATATAACTACTAAGTCATTAATTTTTTATCATATTAAATAATATAGTTTATTTTTGTAATTATTTTAAAAATCTAACATAAAAGTATTTTTAAAATTATAGAATTTAACAAACAAACAAAAATCTGACACGATTAACTTAACATAACCAAGGACGAGTTGGATTGTAAAAGAATTGGGCATAACACAATTGGGCTGTTATATGGAGCCCAAATAAAGTTAACCCAATAGCGATGGCGGTATGAGAAAAGACGCGGCACGTGGTTGCGTCGTAACTAATAGCAATTTTCGAACACCCCCAATCGTCCCGTTTTACCTTCTCAGTCACTCAGCTCTGTTTATTTTATCTTTCACTCATAAACCCTAGAACCTGCACATACTTCTGCAAAGAGCCCTACGAGGCTCTTCGTTCAATCCACCGAAGAAATGCTCTGAAACTATCCCAATCATTCACACCACACTACGTTATCCAATATCTGAAGCTTAAAGCACCGACAGAGTAGAGTCTTTTCAAGATGTGGAACAACGGCCAGATTTTACCCCCTGGAACTTCCGTTCCTCCGATTCCTCCACCTCCCGCTGCTCAACCCTCGTACACGGTGCTTCCTCCGCCTCCTCCGCCTCCAGCGCCTATGGAGACCGAGGCTGATGCGGAGGCGCGACTAGAGGAGAAGGCTAGAAAATGGCAGCAGCTCAATTCGAAGCGTTACAGTGACAAGAGGAAATTCGGTTTCGTGGAGACGCAGAAAGAGGACATGCCTCCCGAACATGTCAGGAAAATCATTCGGCAAGTATTTTTTTCTTTCACGCCTCTCCGTGTCGTGGATTTCTTTCTCGGTGATTTGTTGCTACAAGTACCCTGTTATTCAGAATATGAAGTTTTGGTGGCAATGTTCCCTCTGGAAATGAAATACAATTGGTTGATGAACCTATTTATGTGGCCTTAGAATTTATAGTCGATAATGAAGTTGCTTGGTTTTGCTGGTGAGATAGGATGCCGGGTCATAATACCTATTAACTTAGCTGATAGCTGATTAAAATTATATTTTTTTCGTGTTGTAAATTGTGAGAAGAATAGTTCTCTAACTGTAACTTGACGCGCATAATTTATTGTTAGCGATTGAATCTCAAGAAATGGTTTTAAGTTACTTGGGCGTTATTTTTGTGTTTTAAGTTTGAGTGATGCTCAAGGTTTACGCTCGAGGATTGATGCAGAAGGATGTTCTGAAAAAAAGCCTTCAATGTTTTATATAAGTTGGTTGATTCCATGGATGTATCATTAGATGATTATTTTGTTGGCAATGATTGGGTTGTGTTTGAGTTTCTGACTTTGTATTGTGTAAATAACTAGTTTTTTCTCTCTTTGATGTTTTTTAATCTAATTATTGTGTTTCTACCATAGTTTCCAGTAGTATTTATCCTTTATGTTCTTTATTTCAGGGACCATGGTGACATGTCCTCAAAGAAATATCGTCATGACAAACGTGTTTATCTTGGAGCACTTAAGTTCATACCACATGCAGTTTACAAGCTTCTGGAAAACATGCCCATGCCATGGGAACAGGTTCTCTATATGTTCCAGTTCCTCCCTATCGATCAATCTTTCTATCTAGTTTTCCTCCTCTTCATTTGATTCATTGTACATACTAATAACATATATAAATGTACTTTTGCTAAATGTAGGTCCGAGATGTGAAGGTCTTGTACCATATTTCTGGGGCAATAACATTTGTCAATGAAATACCATGGGTTGTTGAGCCCATTTATCTTGCTCAGGTTTGTTATTCTATTTTCTCCCACTGTACACATTTTACAGTCCATAATTGATTGTACAGTTATAAATAAAGTAAGCTATGCTGTGTATAATCTTGACACTGCATTTTTTATCTATATAATTTTGCACTAAACAAACTATTGTGCAGTGGGGTACCATGTGGATCATGATGAGAAGGGAGAAAAGGGATAGGCGTCATTTCAAGAGGATGCGGTTTCCCCCGTTTGATGATGAGGAGCCTCCGCTAGACTATGCTGACAATCTTTTAGATGTTGATCCTCTAGAGCCTATTCAATTGGAGCTAGATGAAGAGGAGGATTCTGCTGTGTATACTTGGTTTTATGACCATAAACCTCTTGTGAAAACAAAGCTTATAAATGGTCCTAGTTACCGGAAATGGCATCTCTCCCTCCCTATAATGGCAACTCTGCACCGACTAGCTGGCCAGCTTCTGTCTGATTTAATAGATCGCAATTATTTCTACTTGTTTGACATGGAGTCATTTTTTACAGCAAAGGCTTTGAACATGTGCATACCTGGTATTTAGATTTCTTTCATACACACTATTTGTATTAAGGTATGGATACTTGTTAATAACTGGATCAGATATTGGTTGTGTTACAATTGAACGTGATATTTCTAGATAAAAAGCTTGCTCTCAAAACAGATTATAATGAGCTGAGAAAGGCTTAGAAAGTTATTTTGCGAATAATTTTATACATATTAGAATTAAATGGAGAGTCAAAATTGTGCATTGATTTTGTTCTTCTTATTTATGCCTTCCAGGTGGACCTAAATTTGAGCCTCTGTATCGTGATATGGAGAAGGGAGATGAAGACTGGAATGAGTTTAATGACATCAATAAACTCATTATAAGGTCACCACTTCGGACAGAGTATAGAATTGCTTTTCCTCACCTTTATAACAATCGGCCGCGCAAAGTAAAGCTTTGTGTGTATCATACTCCCATGATCATGTACATAAAAGCTGAAGATCCTGATTTACCTGCATTTTATTATGATCCCTTGATTCACCCAATAACAAGTGCTAACAAGGAGCGGCGGGAGAAGAGAATTTATGAAGATGATGATGATGACGATTGGATATTACCAGATGGTGTGGAGCCTTTGCTTAAAGATACACAACTTTATACAGACACTACAGCTGCTGGGGTCTCCTTGCTGTTTGCTCCTCGTCCTTTTAATATGAGATCTGGTCGAATGAGGCGGTCAGAAGATATTCCTCTTGTGTCAGAGTGGTATAAGGAGCATTGGTAAGTTGTAGCTTTATCTCTCTCATGCTTTTTAGTGTCTTTTCTTTGTACACATGGTATTCTGATATTTTTCAATTATAGTCTGGTACTAAAGTTTCATGTTTCTTTTTTATTGCCCAACAGCCCTCCATCTTATCCAGTCAAAGTACGGGTTAGTTATCAAAAGTTGTTGAAATGTTTTGTGTTGAACGAGCTGCATCATAGACCTCCTAAGGCCCAAAAGAAGAAGCATTTATTCCGTTCTCTCCAAGCAACAAAGTTTTTCCAAACCACAGAACTTGATTGGGTAGAGGCAGGTCTTCAAGTTTGTAGGCAGGGGTATAACATGCTGAATCTGTTGATACACAGGAAAAATTTGAACTACCTTCACCTTGATTATAATTTTAATCTAAAGCCTGTGAAAACCTTGACTACGAAGGAGCG